TGATGTGACAGCAGTGTAAGATTAGAGAAATAGACTCATATTATTTTATAAATAGTCATATCTGCCATATAACTTGAGAGTATCTTTACTGAGAAACTGTCTTCATGAACATCATGATGACAAGTTGTTTCTTTCGACTTCTGGTATAAGGATTACATGTCTAAAGAGTCTCAAAACTTCCCTGATATGAGCTTGTGGGAAAAAGCATACTAATATAAGACTCCATACTGCTGCATGTCTGTACATCTGTAACATAAAGCTAGGGTGCCAATTGTACTTTGTATTTTGTTATTGTTGATATGTTTGAATATGCTGCTACTTTGCTGCAAAGGCAGCTGGTTAAACAGGCACATATCTCCCTGTTTGTGCTGCAAGCAGGAAAGCATTTTTGTTTTTGAAAGGCTAAAACAAAAAACCTCACAAAACTATAGATTGAAGTGGAATATCTCGTTAGACAGAAGTCAACTTCAAACATTCATCTGCTACTCAGTAGTATGTATCTAATACCTAATATATATATATATCATTCCAATAACTTGTATATAGACTCATACTGCACTATTCCACATCATCACTTTATTTCATTTTATAACTATTATTCTTTTTGTATTGCTCTTGCTCTTATTGTTATTATGTTATTATGTTGCATTGTTGGAGAAGCCTGTGACATAAGATTTTCAACTACATAATTACTCTGTAGCTATGTCAGATTGACAATAAAGAACCTTGAACCTTGAATCATGTGTTTTTTTCAATAAATGTTGACCTTCTGACTAGAAAATAATACTCTTGAACCAAATAAAAAAATAATACGATGCAAATAACATTAGTGCAGCCTCATCATTATCTGCAAATGTGTAGGAATACATGCAAAAAATATATGTGCAACATTTGAATGTCAAAGCAATATATGAAGCTTTGAACTATAAGGTATCCAACCATCAGCTTTGTAAAAACATCAAGTTCTTACGACCATCATTTAACTAGAGATGTTACCTAACAATGACTTGGAAATGAGTAATTGATTGTCAGTAGGACCCATTAATTAGTGGCTGCAGGGTGTGAAAGGCTGAGAGAGCTGATCCAGCATAGGATAAATAACCTGTTAGTCAAATCAAAGCGCTGCCATATCTGGAGCTCCACTCTAATGTTTTTTCAATAGCCATCAATAGCCAGAGTGGATTATTTTCTCTGTGGTCTTGGTGTGGCACATCATATCATTTAGTGAGAAAAAGGATTTCTCCCAGATTAATGGCTTTTCCCTCTACTAGGTCATCTTGTGTGGCCTATCTAGCAATGGTCTCAAAGCCTTTTCACCTGTTGTGTGACTTTTGTCCTCTCTTATCTCCTTGACATATGAGGCAGGAATCCCTTGTGGCACAGTGTGATCCCCCCACAGCTGAGGAACACAGGAATATTTCAATGAGAAACCAGAGCCATTTGACAAGAGTGAAAAACTGGAGACAATTGGAAATCAGTCAGTTGAAAATGTCACCTTTTACCTGATGGAAAAGTCTTTGTAGCATCAAAGATTACAGAAGTATCATCAGCTCACGCACGATAAAGGACACACCCGCATGTTTATTACTGATCTGAGGTTATTCATCTGTATACTTTGCCAACTGTGCCACTTTCACAGCAAAGTAACTAAATAAATAACCAACCAACTAGATTTAAATAAATAAACGAATAAATCAGTAAGAGGATCTGGGCTGCATAATTCATTTGAGGAGAACACATCCGTAGACAGAGCAGTAGCACTGTTCTGCTTCCTCTAGGGCTTGCTGGAGTTTCATCATCTGTGCAGCACAGCTACAGTATGTCTAATAAGAACTAACACTGTGCAGCACATCTGTCAGATGTGTACATTTTCCAAAGCAGGACACAAGGACTCCTTGACACACTAGAGGCCCTCAGCTGATTAAAGCAGATTTCAAACGCTTTGCATTCACATTATTTGCATTCAGCAAAACGCATCAAAGAAAATATTTCATCGTTTGTGTATAGATAGACTCTATTTATAAGGCTAATGCAATCGTCCTAGGAACTTTCATTAAAACAAATCGCCGTCCATTCTGTATGAAGATACAGCAACATATGAGAATCAACATGGCATTTGTCGGTGACTTATACTTAGCAAGGATTTATTTTATCCATACAGGTACATTTATACATCTAATAAGGCTTAATGGGGTGTTAGGCATGGATTAAAAACTCCAAGACCCACCTGGTAATGGGGGATTTCTTAAGGTGATTATTTATTAATCCACGGGAACCTACAGCCTTACCCAGGCATGAACCCATGTCTGCACTAAACCCACTCACATCTCTGTGCCAACAACTGAAATGCAGAATGCTGGGGAGTCTTGGCACAACATGAATAAACCAAGCTTGCCGTGGCGTTCCTGTGTATCTATAAGGAAGCAGTGTGCATTGACCGAGCGTAGGTTTTCAATCCTATTTTGAGCGTGGAAAATGACGTCATTTGGTACTTTTGCAATTCTTTTTGCTACCAAATCCTACATCCCTTGCACACAAGACGTTATTATACAGTTTCTCATTGGTATGTATTGATAGGTGTCGGGCAGGCGCTTCTCTGCACTGCATGCTGTATGAATAACGAATACTTGGTTTACAAATGACCACCGTGAAAACGCCAAGGTTGTTCTCTTCACCATGCACGTTTTTCGCCTGATCGACCGCGTAGGACAGGGTCAGCCTACAATGACAACACACAGCTTAGCACATCATCACAGCACCTGATTAATATTGTAGCACACCACAGTTAGCAAGAGGGACATATCTTTTTTTACTGGGGCTCCCCATGTTCTTTTTTGAACTGCTGTAATGTGCCACTGAGTCCCAGAGTCTGACTCTTGGCCTGTCATTCTGTGTCAATGCCATCCATAATAGATAAGAACCAAGCCTTTCATATTACTGTTAATGGCAAATGTGGAAATACATTCCCATAAATACCTAGACATGGGTCGGAGTGGCCCTTACATCCACCCCGACAAACTGCATTAGCCATCCATCAAGGTAATAATATAAAATCAAGATACTGTGAATGTTAGACATGGGGTCACAGAGGGGGCTGGGTGGCTGCCCTTGATATCCACTCTTGCATATGTTGCTTTGAGCTTCAGAGACGGATCAGTGCAAATGGCATCATTCCTCTTCTCCCGACCACAATGTCCTCCACATATCCTTGAAGTCGATCTAAATGGCTTAGAGTGGTTGTATTTCCCTCAACAATAAATTGAAGTGGACAGTGTGAGAGAAGGTCTGGTTGGATCTAAGGCTTTGTGAAAGCTTTCCTCTCCAAGCTATTCTATGAAGGTTGCAGATTGGTCAGCCAGTGTCAAGATATGCTGCATCATTTGTGCATCCTCCATGGCTCTTTGTGAAACCAATAAGTTGCGAGCGTGGAAAAAAGTTGCTAATTGGGTGAGAGTCTCCTGCTGTATCAGCTGGCCACTAGCTAGCCCCTGATAATGATACACGTCCACCGTCCTGAAATAGGCTGTGGAACTGCAGTAAGACACATTGGTTCAACAAGTGGGCCGCCACATGTGACTCGTAGAGCTAAGAATAAGCGGAAACCTTAGCGCGTTAACAGTCACCATGAAGACAGCTAGTCATCAAAGACGGGGTATTAATAGATCAGAACGGTGTCTTCAGCATCAACAACAACAGCAGAATGTCTGAAATGGCCAGTTTAAAGCCCTGTGGCTCTTTGACCTACAGTATCTTCAAAGACACTATGAGAATGATGATGGTATAGGAAACCAAGAAACAAAAACATCAAACAGGGAGTGATTTTCTATTTCGTCAAAACCAATTATGATTGAAGGATTCCTCATAAAACTGTGTTTGAGAAGAAAAGTGCACACAGTAATTTGATGCCTCTCTGACCCGCGGTCCCCTTGATGCTGAATCCCTACTTAAGTCAGGTTAGGTACGTAATAACACCTCACCAATAAAGTAGAAAGACAACAGCAACTAAAGAACATCTGCACCAGCCTCTGAGCTCATTTGTTGACCGCAAATACTTTACAATTCTGTTACTTCATGCATTGTGGGAATGGATCACTTGAGATATATTACAACCAATGACAGACAGCTCATAAATTGCTAATGTTATTGGAACAAGTTTGAATGTATTCGACACAGAATTCTTGAGATACTTGTATCCAGATGTCTCGAGGTGCATCATCTCGTCTCTTGCTCAATGTGAAAAGAACATTTGCGTGACCTACTTATGGGTGTTCTTGCGCTCAACCGGCTATATATTTCATATGTTGCTCCAATGATTTCTTCCTGTTTTTTGACCTTCCAAGCAAGTCGGAAGGGCCTATTTCTAAACACAGTGACACGGGCGAAGGTATTGACACAAGACTCAATTAAGCTGGACACAAAAGGACGCTCTCTCCACCTGTCCTTTAACACTGCCTTTCAGCTGTGATGTCAAGGAACAACAACATTCCCTACTGTCGTCAGGCCACCAAAGTGTCATAATGTTGACCTAACACAAATGTTAGAGCATCGAACATGCAAGTACTTTTCAAATACAAGAATTTAGGAAACGTTCCCATAAATACTATTGTTATGTTAAAAAGCTACGAGTTGTAAAAGCATACTTTTACAAATCCAGACACTTATCCAGTCAGGCGGGACACGTTAATAAATGTGGTGCAATGTTTCAGTTGATCCAGGCATTGACATTGACTGGCCTTTGAATAAACTGAATACTGTCCACTATAGTCAGACTGTACCATGTGTGCTGCCAGTCATACTGTGAGTGTGTATGACCCCTTGACCATGAAATCCATTCATTAATTGTCTTACAACAAACCCACACCTCCTCTTCCTTCTTTGCCATGGATCATCTTCGCCTCCCCCCCAAAAAATAACTGCCACTCAGCTGCTGCTTGGCCTTTCACCAGACCAGGTCCTCTCAGTCAGGCCACACAACTGGTGGACTGTTCCTGTTTACTCACCCTTTTGCCCTCTTTTCCTGGCTCCCCTGGGACCCCCGCCACACCCTGGGGAAAGGCACATGTATCATAGTGAATCAGGTGCTACATTCATTTGGCAATGCAGTGAGAAATAACGGTTGGCTTCCTATAAAAACTGATGCAGACAGATGTTTATGCCACATGTTTTCAACAGACCATTGGATAACCAGTGGGCTTATTTGCAGTGATAGGGAATGCAGCATTAGCTTAGTTAAGTTAGCATGAGAAGATATAAATGAGTGTGTACAGCTGCAGTTTCCATCTTTGCTCATGAACAATTTCTAGGTGACTTCTCCAGGATCCCCTTAATAGGCAATTTTCAGCCTCGGTTGATCAGAGCTTCATTCCATTATTCTACACAGTATCTTGATAAGGAACAATTAGGAAGTTAATAAAGGTGCGTACTGAGTGGTGATTTTGTTTTAAAATTATTGCACAAAGATATACTTATGGGGCTTCAATAATAGCTAGATGGACCTTAATAGTTGTACTTGATTGCTCAAGAATATGCTATGTAGACTTTGTGCAATGAGAAGAACAGATGACATTAAGATTCTTAAAGGTGTTACCTTTTCTCCTTTGTCACCTGGGAGGCCCTAGATGTGGCAAATAAAGAGTTATGATTACAATAAAACAAACTCAAGAATACAGAATGTGTAGATGTCTCTTTTGTGAAAACAATATTCATTTATTGAAGTACCTGATCTCCTTTGAAACAGTCTTTGTCAGCCTAGGAATCAAACAAAGAATCAAACGTAAGAAAACATTCATCCTGTATGGTTTTACCAATACATGTTTGGCAGTTATAGGCAACAGAATACAGTTGGTAAAGAGGTCATTATCTCTAGCTGGATGACCAAAACAGAAGTCAGAGCATGGCTATTACAACCCCCCCAGACACCCTGCTGACCACTGTCAGGAAAGGGCAGACAGAGTCGTCTGTCCACCAGGCGACGAAATGTTTACAAGGCCACATACAACATCTCATCTTTCAAATACAAGCCAAATAATTGGTGTCCTCTTTCAATTGGCATCCAAAAGTCAAACGCCGTTGACTTTTCCTGGAAACAGCTGCAGAAATGGACATTCAGAACATATGTCTTTCAAGTCAGTCGAAGGCCTCATGCAAAGAACAAACAATAGGAAAATAATTTAACAAGGAGGCTGACAGCCCGGAGATATTTGCAGCTGTATCTATAAAACAAGAGTGACAGCTCTGACCTGTGACACCCTTAATAAAACATGACTTAGTCTGTGCAGGGCTTCTGATAATAAATCAATTATTCATATACAATAGTACATATTTTGTTGGATTGTGAGCACAGAGTTTCGACCTTGGGTAACAAGCAATACAATGCAAATCCACCCCGCAGATAGTATACACTACTTTAATAACTTGCTCAATATTTTCAGCTTACACTCAATCACCAATTTACTGGTATGATTTGAAAAAGTTTTGCTGAAACTGTATCTGCTTCACAGGGAGAGATTGTTATTTTGCTCGTCCTTGTAGATGTAAAAAATGTGCATTGGAGAAAAAGCTAATGGTTGGTGGTGTACAGTACTGTGGGTATAGGCACTTTGGTGACATAAAAGTGGCAAGCCAGCAGCAGTGGGACACAGTATTTCTGTCACTCCAGAGCTGATTAAAACTGTAAGGCTGATCCCCTCATGATGTGTACATAATTATCTAACCACCCTGCAGTATACCTTTAATCTCCAGCAGCCGTCAACTCCCTGGATCCGGTGCATTGAGAGTATGTGGGTTTGCATCCGTGCCCACACATTCCCTATGTGTGTTGATAAGTGACAATGCGAGCATCTGCTAGTACATATATCTGCTGCCTGCTGACATATGTAGCTTCAATTTGAATGAGCACAAATCTGGGTTCTCTGTCCTCTAGATATTACAAAACCATACAGGAAGCCGGTCCAATTATAAGATCGAAATACATGAAGTGTGTTGTCGTTCTCCCCAGGTTTCTGTAAATGCTACAAGTTTGCAGTGAAAGACCCAATAGGTGCATGTCTCACCCATGTGGGATACAGCTACCTGTCAACCTCCCCCCCCTACGCGGAGGCCGGGAGCTCGATTCTTCTGCGCCTGGCCGCTCATCCCTGTCCTTTTTGGCCCAAGTGGCGATGCCCACCGAGCCCTGTCTATCTGCTTCTTGTTTGACCCATTCCCAGGCGATGGTAATGTGACACAGACACTGCTCACCTGCCTCACTTCCCATCACTGTGGACCACCACTGTTTTAACACTGCTTGTAGCACCAACTCGGCGACAAAAGGCTGTGAAATGTCATCACAGATAGCATAATGAGATGTAAATGTACAGTGAACTTAGCCCTGCAGCTCCAGGCAGACCGACATCACCCTGAAGATACTAATTAATAACTCCTTAAACTTCAGTCAATAACATCTTTAACATTCTGCAGTGCAGTGGAAACGGCTACGGCTAAATCTATACAATATATTTTTGACTTTTAAAAGATTTATCCTAAAGGCCAGCCATCATGTTTGTGATAAAAAACTGAAGGTCAGGCTTTTTATGATGCATAGCAGTAATATGTCAAGATATGCACTATGTGCGATAGAAGGCCATTAACTGGTATTTACAGTATGTCTTGAAATGAATGTCTTGTGACTTTCAAACTGTCAGAAAACTGGCAGGTGGGCTGCTTCTATTAAATGTGACAGGCTTTAAAATAAACACAGCCATACTATTTCATGTAAAAGCTTTGCAGTATTAACAATGGACAGGTATGATAACATTGTTTGGTGACTGTGACATACGGGCAGCCACGAAAAGTCATATAAGGAAAGAGGTTGAAGTCTTTTGACGCCAGGATAACGCAATGTAAGCAATGATCTCACACGCTTTTCACTGCTTCCCCAATGTTTTTGTCTTTGCAGATAAAAACCCATGTGTCACTGTCCAATATTCCTTGCATTTATCTCCCCCTTTCACCACAAACACAACAGGACTTTATAAAGCACCGAGCTGAGGATCTGTCGACTTTGAATCTGGCAATACCCGTTTATCAGATGAGGATGAAAGAAAAAAGCCTTTTTGTTGTTCATATCCATTTTGTTGTCTAAATGAATGTCACAGCTAAAATATGCTTGCTATGGGATATGCAGGGGACTCATTACTTTATGCTTCCAAATCTGCCTCCCTCTGTCAGTTTCAATACAAACAAACGTTCTCTCCACCCCCAACCCCACCATCCCATCCGGAAAATAGGATAAAATACGCTGTGATACTCTGTTGTCTTCACAGAAACACACAGACCTCATTATAACTTCAAGGCTGGCAGACAGAGCATTGCACCTACAATTATGCGGTGAGTTCCAAAAGACAACAACAACAACAACAAACACAAAAACCCAATAAGGGAGGAAAATAAAAGAGCGAGAGGTATCAACTAATTACAGGAAAAACATTTCATCTCATACATGAAAAGTAATCCCACAGTGGGAAGAAAAGAAAGGAAAACTTTCAAAAAGACCAATGTTTTCTGCATTGCAACCAGAGCTTATCTGATTCAGTGATGTCGGTGAACAGACTATAAAGGAGCTGCAGATAAGAACAAGGTTGGGAATCAAACTTCTCTACTGCACTTCCAGCTTGTCTTACATCCCAGGCGTATGCATTTAGGCACTGTATAGGACATACCTAAGTGGATTTCTACAGTATTTGTGATCAATTGTCAAATATATTCTAAATCAAGTATGTGAGCAGTCCCTAAATAAGAAGGCAATAGTGTGCCATAGCCATTTTTGCTGCAGGCTTTAAAGAAATACTGTTTAGAGAGGGCAAGATAAAGGGATTTGTTGGCTATGTCCATTACAAACAGCTTCTCCTATGAATATACAAATACTCTGCAGTGGAACATTTTCTCTAGGCCTGGATAAAAGCTACTCTATATGACCATCAATAAGGTCTTGCTAAGTTATGATAGCAATAACAGTATTCTTCGGCCGGCCATGTTTGGAGTAGCAATCATAGCAGCACTTCAAACAGATGGGCAAACCCCTTATTGAGGCGGGGATTACAGCTCATCAAAGTCAATGCAGATTCCCTGAAGTATCGATTGTTATTTAAAAAAGAAAAGCGAGTTACGGTGTAATTTCGTCCGGGCCAGTCTGTAAATCAGACTCTCTCACTTTGTCTCCTTTTGGACCAACCGGCCCTGGGTCACCTTTCAGACCCTGGGAATAAAGAATATATAATATATTAAATTATATTTCTTTTTAGTGGGAGTTACGGATTAAAAACTGGTTAAAAAACACCCAAAATGTGTTACTGTATGTCAATATGTTGACACTCATTATGTCATGCAGGTGTGAGATTCTCAGGCCCGACAAAACCGGTCAATAAGAGAAGAGCAGATAATGTCAATCATTAGACGCTGCATTTTCCAAAAGTGTGCAGTGAGATTGGCAATCAGCTGATTATACAGTGTCTGCCCCTCAACCCCTTCTCTGTTTTTCAGCATCGCAAGGACTCTTGATTGTCATTGCTTTTACACCTTGAAGCGGAGGACCTGAGGGTGGAATTAAACCCGCGCCTGGCCCGGGGCAAAGTCAAGCTCTCGGTAGAAATGTGAAAGAGGTGGTACAGCTGAGATAAAGAGTGATAGCTGATAAATGAAGCTTGACACACATTGACAGGCTACATTTGCAGCAGGCCTTGTTAGGTATGACATATTTAGGCCAGTAGCAGCAACTCTTTGAAATGGGTTGGGGGGGAGGACAGGAGATATGTTGAGTGTGAGCGGTCTGCGAAATGATTCAGAAATACAATAATTTGTCATGGTTAAATATAGAGATAGAAAGGCTAAAAATAGTGAGCTATATATCTGTGGAAGACGATTACCTACCTTTAACACCTTTTGTCTGGCTCCAGCAGAGACTAATTCATCGCCTATTCCTTGTATTAAACACAACTATTCATACATAAGTAGTGCTAAAATAAATCGCTATAGAAACAACAGCTAATACAGATTCCTGATAAATTGCCCTTTAATGGCGTGGTTGTTGCCTTTAAAATGCACTAATGATGACATGGTTGTGACATTATTTGATCAGATTGCATCACTCTACCTCTGCCAGTTAGCCCACTCACACTGTCAATAATAAGGGCATCTGTCTCAAAGCTGCACATGAGAGCCCAATTCTTTATTTGAATCGACAGCTTAACTACCTTACTGGGGCAATTTGACACAAGAGGATCCACAAGCAAATTCCCCTCTGAGTTATTACCAGAGCTGTGGCAGAAACCGAAGAGTACAAGGCTCATCTGATAACAAGGACGTAAACAACTTCAGGTTCAGTCGATAACAGAAGAGATTTGGATGAATCTTGCACGAGTTTCGAAAGAACTTTTTTGTAATGAGAAGATCTTGTCTCGTTGTTGTGGGGAAAAGTGTCTTGTAATATAAATGTGGTGTTGTTGTGATCTGTTACAGTCATTGTGTGTTTTCCTCTGGTTCATTTGAGGAAGGGACCACAAGGCTGACGTTTGTTCCCATTCACAGCTTTGCGATCGTGAGTTAGGAGAGAATTCAAACGCTCCTAGTACACATTATTCACTTCACCGATGAACTGTGGAATGAAATACTTTCGAATGAACATGTTGTAAAGTATACATTTCACCACTGTGGGACGGAATAAAGGATTTCTGTTTCTAACCCTTCTGAGCACGATAAGGAGTTTGACTCAGTCCACGAAGCTGATAACAGGTATACAAAATTAAAAATTCAAACACAGGGAATAGATTATGGGAATTATGGGAATTTAAGTGTAAATTAAAGGGTTTGTTTGACATTTGAGCTAATTCCTACTTTAAATGAAGCCTCATGACTAATGTGCAATTTGTTCATCCTAAAACAACATGTGACATTGGGCCATCCCTACGCATGGTCTTCAGAATTGGCCTCTGACCAGTGCGGTTCATATCAGTGGAATATTTCCTTTAATTTGTAACATCTGACAATATTCCTCCCTTTTGTGTTTTACCAACCCCCCCGATTCTACTTTTCTTTCTTCACTTACACTGTTATTTGGACTATATTCATATTATTTGAGGCCTGTAACCACTTTCATACATCTATCAATATGGTCTCATCTGTGCATTCTCTGACACCCTGCCAGTTGCCCTTTTACCTATAAGACATGTTGCTAGATGTTGTACCTATGACTCGTATTTAAGTTCTGTTTACTAAATAATGCTATGACTATTCCGGGTTTTGTTATAAATCATAAATATTTATGTTTATGCTGTATGTTTTTTTTTTAGCAAAAGCAACCTTCCCTCCCTGGCGTCCTCTTTGCAGACAGCAGACAATATGTCAACAGAAGAGTTGACAGGGAACTACCATAACTCAAACTGAATAATGCAACTGGAATTAACTTGTGCAGGTGGTGAAATATGTTTCCCATGGCACATGTCCTTATCAGAAAGCAAATGCATGTCAGTCAGAAGCTCTGTCGGTCCAAAAGTCACTCTCTCACTATAAAATATATTGAATGGTAGTCACCCAGCCTGTATTGAAGTCTAGCTAAGCTTTGCATCTGCTTTGGCTTATCCGTGTGCCACAAACAAATCGTTTCTGCTGGTAAATATTTTAATTAGAACTGTCTAAAAACACACTTTTAAATAAAAGATGAAGAATTCAGCAAGTATGCCAAATGCTAACAATTCACTTTCTAAACTTGTGCAGAGTGGTGCTCACTTTTCCCATGTGTGCTCTCGAATTTAGTATGACAAAAGATGCTCTGGCAGGAGAGAAAAAAAAAAGTACTTTGATAAAAACTTGGCTCCACTGTGCGAATGTTCAGATAATTCCAAGATTGCAGTACTTCAGTAATAGGACCTGTGGAACTGTACGGCATCTGGACTTGTCTTTAGTAATGGGCTGTATATGAAAACAACCAGCAATTAAAAGTTAGCCAGCACTTGTTTTATTGGCTAAGGCTTTTGGCAGTCTTGAAAATGTTGCATTCAGTCTTACTCTGGGACACAAAATAAATATTCTTTGCTCTAATTGTCTACTTTTCATACAGCGTCTTCTACTGTATACACACCATGCTTTCTGAGTATTTGCTTTAAATAGGTTAACTATTGTATATATTTTTGTATTTAGCTCAAGGGAACAAACAACATCTTGTCAAAGGGTTCAATACAAATCATAGTTATAATTGTCAACACGCTTTTATTAAATCATTTTTAGTAATCAATTTTGCTGTGGACTTTCTTATATGCTGTGGTTAGTTCTCATATAACAGAAAGATACTTCAAATCACTCAACTTTAGGAGAGCAAAAACTCCCAAATTCTGTATTTAATAAATCTGATTTGTGACACGGTTTGTTCCAAAGCCCTGGGCTAAAATCTGCTAAATCTTTCTTGTTGTCACTGCCGCAAATATTGTACAAAGTTGTTCAGTCAAGCGTTACCTACCAATTTTATACACTTGACACTGTTGGGAAAGTTCTGCCAGAACACTCTCTCATCCTGTTTCTCTCCTTTTTCTAAGCCTCCACCAGCAGAGACTTTAAAACAGTTGTGTAAAGTTGATAAAGTTAAATATTGTGTTAGAAAATATACAACCATTTTTGTATATGTATAAATCATTTGGAGTAGAAAGTAGTAGAAGGAGACGTCAAATATCACAGTGTTTGCTACTGAAAACAATGACTTGAGACTAGCATGCATGTTGCCATAATTAGCCGCAGGGATCATCTGGGATCCAATGTACGTTAAACAAATGTTGATTCGATTTCCAAAACTATACCTTTTATATACCAAGGGATGAGATAACCCTAATGCGCCCTGTAGTTACTATTAAGATTCAGATTCAGATTAACAATCAAATTAAATATAATTATTTTTTACTGAAGTGGGCCAGCGCATATTGAGTACTTTTACTTTGATCACAGGACTTTTACTTGTACCAGACTATTTATCTGATATTACTACCTTGACTTAAGTTACATTTAGTTTACTTTGTGACTGCCTTAAAGTCAAGAAGAGAGGATTCCTTAAATTGAAACATATACATATAGCTGTTAGAAAAGCTATAAAGGACGTGTGGATCTTAGCAAAGCAGTTTAAATCGTCCCAACTTACCTCAACTAACATAAAATTATGCAATTATAATGTATTTTGATGATTGTCAAAAAAATCCCATCTCTGTGAGAGAAAACATAAATAACCCTTCAGGGAAAAAGGATTCCTTTCCTTTTTTTAATCGTCCTATCTTCCACACCAAAGCCTAGTTAAGGTGCTGCCCTCTGTCTAATGGACTCAGCCTTGAGCCCACAGGCTTAATTCCAGAGCACAGTGTCACAGAGGGAGATGTAGACAAGACGGTCCGGATGTATTGTTAGCTTTTTTGCTGTAAGCTGTGGGCTTTGTTGCATGTTCAGGGCAGTATGAAGGGGGGATGAAGGGGCTGGGAATGGGCCGGTGCTGGCTGTCGCTCCTGCAGCACGAGGTCAGGACACTGTGGGGAGCTGTGTACACTCGCCTGCTAATTACACACACCACTGTGTCTCCCCACTGCCGTAGCTGTGGGGCCACAAGACAATCTGGCAACTCCCCAGCACATGACAACTAAAGCAAGCAAGAAGCGGGGTTATACAAAGGCAGTTTAATTATGTTTACTTCTACCTTTTACCTATCAGAGCGGTTGCAGGTCACAGCCCTTGTCTGACTGAATAATTGCATGTTTGAGTTAATGTAAACACTTTAATCATCACACAATAGGTTCATCCTCATAAAGAGAGGCTACATTATAACATAATTGTAGCTGCACTGTGTCTCAGAACATTCTGGTGGGGAAATGTTGTAATCGTGAATGACAGGCTGTTAAAGCTCTATGGAACAGGATCTGTAAGTAACAGAGATATCTTGAGTGCCGGCCTACACATGCCAGGGAGGTTACAGCAGGAAATGCCTTTTGTGACTTTCCATTTGCTCAGCGATACACCACCACATACAATATAGGAATATAAGACGAATCATATTGAGTGCTAAAAGGTTAGCTTATTAGCATATCTATTACACTCTATGATTAAATACAGTTTGACCTAAACAAAGGTCCATTAGCGAGGGGATCAGTCTTCACTGTCAGAGGGCAGAGGATATCCTGTTTTGACTTTTTCAACCACACTTTTCAACTGAACATGTATCCACAAATGTAACTGGGATTACCCACAAGATAACACGGTGTGCACTCCGTCTGTCCCACAGGACGTGTATCTGCAAAACGATACCAGATCACATGCTCATACATAGAATTCTGGCTTCTCAGGTGTCTACTCGCGCCGTAAATAACATACTTGCTTTAAAAATGGAATATGAGCTAATTGCAGTAAAGGGACAGATCGGTAATAGAGTCTCCCAGTGCATAGTGTGATTGAAATCAACAAGCTCATCTATTTGTGCAACATAACAGTTTACAATTTATTTGTTATTAAAAGATTTAATCATTTATTCTAGTCTTACTAACTGCTTCTAGCTCCACCGTTTTCACCATCTAAATAAACACAAGGAGCATTACAACTACAGTTTGAGTTGAATTATATGTTATGAGCATTTCATTATGAACATTATGAGCATATGGGAACATTAAAAGTGACGGAGCAGTTTTCAATTCACTAGCAAAGCTTTTCCTTAAACTGAAACGACTCAGTCAACCACCACTTGGTGGCAGATATAGTGTACTCATATGAAGTAGTATTGATATAATGTATTATATATACAGGTATGACCACCCAAACATTTATACCCAAACATTTATAATGTTAACATCTACAGTCTAGGTGTAGCAAAAAATGTACTTTTAAGTATTTTTGAACAGATTACTGTAAGCGACTAACTGGTTAAGAAGGGGCTGCCTTATTAAGTCGATGAGGCTCATCCACTCACAGTCACTGGGGATACTGGTTTTAACCCATTAATCCTGTACTGCTCTATGTTCAATGATGATTCTTGGGGGCTAGGTTACCTCATATATTGTATTCCACTGTCCTGCCTTCTTATTAATCTAAATCAAATACAAGGGTTAGGTCAAGATATCAAATAAATCACTGACTACAGCACAGCTGTGGAAAAGACTAATAATGAACATCCCATCACAGCTTGATTTATGCTGTTCATGGGTAGGGAGACTGTGTTAAATCTTAGAATTTCTTAGTTTCCACCGAATTACTAGAAGGGTTCTTACATGGAACATGTAATCCATTGAATCAATTGTGATAAATGGCCAAATTGTGTGGAATTTTGGGTGGACATTTCTTCACTTGAAGGCAACTAGAATCAATATTTATATGTTTACAATGGAGCAAAGCCTAATTGTATGTGAAAGTAGTAGCTCAGGGACACATAAATGCCTACTCTGATTTCCCATGAGCTCCACAGTTCATTTCAGAGAACATCAACTCATTGTTGTTGTTTACTCCCCCTGCTCTCGTCAGCCTCTGTTAGTATCGTATTTTCGGATGAGAGAGAGATATGTCAATTTAATCTCTGGGCCTCCAGTATGAAGACAGGTCCACACCACCCATTGCTCTTGTATGTTTTAAGCAATGGTTTGCTAGCTGACAATACACAGCGGGTTTGAAGCACATCTTTTTTACTTTTGATTTAGCTAGACTGCCTGTCTTGTTGCTACGCTAGTTTGAACAAGCCCAGAGCCAAACATTATTATCCATAACTACTTGTCAGTAGTGCCGGACAAACACGCCTGCTAGAAGCAAAATAAAAATACAATGTTTTACTTTTCTTTGTTCCAAATCACTCAATTGGGGTAAAGTATTATACATCCCTAAAGGGCATGCATGGAGAGATATGTGAGTGTGACCATAGAAAACATAAATGCTCATTTGGGATGCAAAAAAGCTGTTATTCCCATATTTTCTAATCGTTGACTCAAGACTGACATATAGGAATGCAATTCTGGAGATACATTTTCAGACAAACCAACGCTACTGATGATGACACACACAAACACACACAGCGAGGGGGAGTAGACCCTGGGTCCAATGCTGCCAATTTAGCAACTATCTACACTCTTGAATCCCTCTTTTATGACGTCTTTGGTAACAAAGATATTTATACAACTTTGTGGCTGACTTTGATTTGTACATACACATAGTAGACCCCTGCCTTCTCAAAACGGCTGCATTGATATGCAAATCACAAAATGACATCAACTGGTGACAGCTACACAAAGTTTTGAGCAGCTGCTTTTCTTGGAAAGGAAAACAAGCTCCAGTCAAGTGGAGCAGGGTGAACCAGTGAGTGAAGAAAGAAGGGCTGCTCACCAGCTCTGTCACCCTTTCCTCTTGATTGCTGCAGCCCCAGTAGAAAAGACTGCATTATCCCATTCCTCCATTATACTTATACAAAACTAAAAAGGCAACAAATCAGTCAGTCTTTGACGCGGATCGAGTTCATTTCCAGTTGTGCGGTCTCCCACCCCTTCAAATTTCTATGTAAATAAACTTGATCATGTCATTCATATGCAAATACAGCCATGACGTCAACTGGCTTTTCAGGCTGCCAATTGCTACTTACCTTGAATCAAAGTGAGCAACTCTGGTTGTTGGTTCACAACCAAAGCTTGTGTTTGTAACCTATTTGTACTTCTTTTTGATTCATCCTGAAATGTACTTGAATTATTGCACACTGACAATTACTGTTATCCAAGCTAGCTGTTTTGCAGGAAAACCTGATGGATTGAATGCAAGCAGTACACAATCTATCCTGTCAGAGCAGCTCCTTTTCTATTTCAATTGAGTACATTAACAGTAGGTTGCTTTTCTTTCGTTTCAAGTAATCACCAGCAGCACTATTAACACAACATAAAGCTTATTCTTGTTGCAGAAAGCTCCCTAAGATAGAGTCAGTATTTCAAATTCTGCTAATGTGTTTTTGTATATTGTTATATTCAACCAGAATATGTGTAAGAACTCCATTTATATTCCTACTGTATAGCAGCAGTCTGTGTACAAATACTCATTCTTTATCAACATGTTCTTTTATAACCTCTCTGTGCTTTTGTAACCGTACTTTAGATACATTAGCGACCTTGCGACATTTACAAAACAGTTTAGAATTACCAAGTACTTAAACTTCCAGTACCCTGTAGCTCAATGAGCATTCAGCTTCATCTTTGTTAGGTTTATTTCTGGTTTTCTTTTCCGATATTTCTCAGAATTACTGTTAGGGCAGTGTGCACGTCCACAGCCTGCAGGGAGGGTGATTTCTGTGGCAGCTGTTTGACTACTCAAGTGGGGGGACAGTGATGAAAAGTAGTCCCTTTATTAAACCACTTTAACGGACCATCTGCACAGCTGCCATCAACTGAAAGTGTGCCATTGTGGGCAAACAAATGCAGTGCAACATAAAACACGCTTTGATTCAACCAATAGTTTTAGGAGGAATGTGCAGGCTAAATTCACCAAGTTCCAAAAATAAGTTATTCATTAAAGAAAAAGGACTAGGATTTACTGGTTGTGGTTCACAAGACATATATTCATTTCATCACTGCAGCCAGGTTTAACAGCATGCCATAAAGTTTAACCTGAAATGACATCGACGGGGCTATGGTAATTTGAAAAATGAGTTTAGTCCATTAGTATGCCGAGCCAATGGTAGCATACATATCAATTCATTTCACTACAGAAGGACATTGCAGAGTCAAAAACACTTAGACGCCCTTCAGATATGACAGGCACCTGAAAACAGCCACAGAGGAAACAGTGCTTCGTTCCTCCCCACGGGGCATCATACAGAAAATGAAAAGCCTATAAGAATTGATTCCCTGACGAAACTAGATCTGGCTGATGTGCTATGTATGGAATATATGTCTGCTGGAGATAGTAGTACTTACCTTCTCCCCATCGATTCCCTTTTGCCCTTCTGATCCAAGTTCCCCCTGCAATGACAAGATTGAAAGTTAAAAGGCAAAGAAAGGACCCTTGCAAAGTTTATACTTTAATCTTTTCCCCCGACTTTTACACCATGTAGGTCCAAATAATTATTGCGCTGTTCCATCAACAGAAAACATCTATACATTCTGAAGCAAAATCAAGGAGAAACATGGTGACTACAAAAAGCTTCTTATCCATAAAACAAATAAAAAGATATATATCCTTTATATAATCTATATAACAAATGAATTCCCAAAGATTTATACCAAAAGATATTAGCAATGTCAATATACAGATATTCTGAAGTCCCTCCCATTACTAGTGAATTGTCTACGAATATTGTATTTGATAACAAGGTAAAAATGTAAAACAATACATCCAAATGTATTTAACATTGTTTATTTGCATATTGGTTTTTGGCTAATGTATACTTGATCCCACCTCAAGTACTAGCCAAAAAAAAAGGTATTATTTTACGACTAACATATCTTGAAAACAATATCATTTTCCTCCCCCAAATACTAACTTTTACTGATTAGAGCTAGAATGCATTATGACTCAATGCAACCCTTGTTAGCTCCATTATTCAGCCAAGTGGGACTGTGCTACCTACCGGCTGCTAAAAGCTAATGTTACTAGCCATCTTCCTGCTAATTTCAACACAGTGTTGTTGTTCAAAATGTTCTATGAGGGAAACGGCACGCTGAGCGCCTGTATTATAGAAGAACAAGTGTCATCATTGTCTTCAAAATGTTTGCATGGATTTAGTACAGAAGCATCTTGTGACATCCCTAAATGTTACCATATCTCTTAACATATCCAATATCTATTTTTATGAAATCCCTACAAGCATTAAGGACTTTCAATTAAACATGTTGTCCTCATCAACATGCACATTTAAGATCTGAAGGCCTCCAAACAAAAAATCCAAGCAGGAAGGACTCTTTAGGGTTTATATAATATTTTCTACCATGTATTTCTCTTGAGTTATTGTGGTGAGAAGAATGTGTCCTCACCATGGTAACATTGTGTCCCACAGACACTGCCATGTGCCATGGTGGCATGACGTAACAAATAGACATCCTTTCTAAAACGCAACTATTCCTGTAAATCAAACTGTGCTGAAGGGGTTGAGATTATCCAGAACTTTTTGTCCTGTCCTCATTGGTGGAACAAAGTTAAACCCCCCCCCCATTAAGGAACATTCAAACTGAGTTAAGCGGGAAGCCACACGCTTGCACCACAGTGACACTGATAAAAAAAGACATTTGGGAAGCAGATACCCAATTCCCAGCGATACTGTTTCTTAGTGAGCTCACTGCATCCTTTCAGCTCCAGCAAAGTCTACAGCATGCGTAAGATTATACGGGGAATAAGCTGTTTGAGGCTTATTCTCACAAATATAACATCTTAGAGGCTCTACAAATATCTTCCTGATCACTGATTCTTCTTAAGCTACCCAGCCCTTACTTTCCAAACACTCTGCCAGAAATGTATGAGATGTCTTGGAGCTTGTTGGCTCTGTTATTAGAGTGTAACCTATACACTTTCATGACCTCAGCTGGCCTGTAAAGCTCAAGCAAACTGCCATAATATAGTCCTGTGTCCATGAGCAACCATATCATTGCTCGTATCATATCGACAGCTGCATGAAATTGTTGTTCTCACAATGTGGCTAAAAAAAGAAGAAAGACATAGGAAAGCGCGAGGAAACAGCTTCATTGAAAGATTGAGCTTTGGTTTAAAACATTTTAACACAAGGAGCATTAGCACCTACTGTATATCAATGCTACTGGTGATGCTTTTAATGTGGACTTTTTCTTGTGCAGCGTTGTGTAACGAAAGAGCTTTAGCTGGCTCCCAAACCTCATCTTAGAAAGCACAAGGAGAGAGAGCTGGCTGCAAGTGTCTCCCCACAGTGAGCTTAACATCTTCTATAGATATAGGGCCAGGATTAAGTCTCCTTCCATATCTAGGGAGAATCCTATTTTCTGCAGATGCACAGAGTGCTTCCACAATGATCAGCAGAACAATTGATCACTTGAATGCAATGCAATATCTTGTGGTTATTAATGTTTTCTTGCTATGTATTTTCTGCTCCTGCTGAGAGTAGAATCACAAGCCCAGAGGTGTTACAGGACATTTTCAGATATGGAACAATCACCCGCATACTGGCGGTGTGCAAAGCATTGCATCCTGGTGACTAAAGGAGAAAAACACATGAATCCAAGTTGCCACATTTGATGGTCAACAATTTGACTAATGACATCAAACGCAATAAGCAGGTAACAAAAAGTGATAATAGAATGTAATTTTACTAAGAGCATGTACAATTTTCTCAGCTATTCAGGATTGTCACAGCACTGTCCAATTACAAACAAAGGCACTTAGCCACTCTTACATTCCATTAAATTATGCACTTTTCTCCCAATTTAAATGTCAGACTCAACAGTAATGTCTGTCATCTTGGCCCCCGCTTTTGGCCGGGGGAGGTTGGAGACAGTTCCTTTAAATACGCATTAAGTTATGCGAGCCATTTGTTTTCCACCTATCAGGGAAGAGCTTCACAGAGAGGGAGACACAGAGATCCACACAGTTCACAGCACCCGACCCTCTAGTAGAAGTTGCTACTACAGCGACAGCTACTACCCCCCCCCCCCCCCCCCCCCCCCCTACTGGCTTCCCACCCAGTATGCAGCCACCTGTGTGCAATGGGGCGCCCGGCCAATCCGCTGCTTGGGACTGAACTTGCGTCTCTGTAGCAGCACCATACGCACTGTGCCAACATGAACCCACTTGCTGGCTTAATTTGATTTTGAGATTGCTTTGTTTTCTGCGTTGCTGTGACTGGAGTCAACACAGAGCCAGCCAGTGATTCAATCCAATGATGTTAGAGAATAATCTCAGAGATGGCCACTGACATATTCCATAAATCACGAAATAAAAAACGTGCCAGATGCTATTCACTGCAAACAAAAAGCATGCAGTCAAAAGAGAAAATCTATTTGAAACTAAAGCTGAATGTATTCAGGGGGAAAACAAAAAGCTGAAGCTACCAACTGAGTGTATGTAAATGGAAACTTTAATCACAGCTTTAAGGGAAAAGCAACACTAAGGGTTTTAAGTAGTTTCATCAGTCAGCAGCCTACCTCATGTCCTGGATCTCTTGAAAGCCCGGCCTCCCCTGTGTCCGCCTGTGACGACAACAACACACAGCAGAGTTAGTGAAAGGTCTCTCGTTGACACATTAGTGAATAGCTTTATGACGGTTTGTCATTTCAACAGCGATATCGCTCCTACAGCTGTTCCACAAGTTGATGCTGACACAGTGCTCAGCAGCTGCAGATCAGGATACTATTTCCCAACAACTGGAAAGCCCAGATGTACAGCTTGTTAAAAAATCATTGTGTTATTTTAATAGTTATATTTGAAAAACAGGGCAAGAAAGTAAGAAAAGCTTGATTGTCTTAGGGTTATAACGTCATTCAGAAAAGGAAACTGATTGTCTACAATATTGTTAAGAGAGAGAAGATGGAGGTAGATGATTACTGGACAAATTAAGCTCACACAGAACTTGCTGCAAGCTAAGAATCTAATTAAATGTGATGCCCATTCAGTCAAATCTTCATTAGAAGCCCTGTTTGTTAGAACTCAATAGGCGTGTTTAGGAAGAACAACAAAATGTGGCTAAACCAAACAACTCAGAAGCTCTCTTTAAACCACGGGTTACAGACCCATTATCCTAGAACAAATACATGTAAATTAAAAACTAGCTCTGCGAAAATGCCGTTCATTGACTAGATATTTAGCATGTGGCAAGATGTAAAACGTTCCATTCCTAGCAATTAGAAGATTATTCCATTTGTGTGAGACAGCTGCTGATGTCATTTATTATACAGATACATCTCCTATAAAATGTAGTGGGCTATATGTGATTTACAGTGCTCACAATTCAGTCCTCTTACATTTAGATGTGTTCTATTCAACCGCTAACTCAAACCCCTGCTTTAGAAAGATCTGAAGCTAATAACATTTTAACACTGATGCACACACAAAAGAAACAATGGAGGGTTTTGACAGCTAATCGAAATACGGCGTCAGCGAAAAATTATAAAGTCCCTTGAATAGAATTCCTGGAATTACTCACTTTGGTACAATGGGGTATAAATTGAATTAGAGGGCACTCATTGAAAACACAAGCCATAAGGGCAGGAGAGTTGTAAACGGTGAAAAACAATTTAAAGGTATTGTAAAAGGGGAATAAGTTTTCATTTCAACATTATGCCTGTGTGTTTTTTCCGTTAGCATGTACATGCAGGAGCTGTAAATCTAGTAATGCCAGGTTTTATGTGCAAGGCCATAGAAAATGGATTTCCTTTCAAGTAAGCTGCATTCTTATAACCCAATCCTTATCTGTTTAATTTCCTGAGGGATTCTGGATTAATCATAGCAGTTTAATCCCTCTGCACTGCACTACAATCCACCATCAAACTCCTGACTGTAATGCGGGATAGTACTTTCTGTTGGAGTAACACAAAGTAATCCCTGCTCATTTTCCTTAAAAAAAATCCTCTGTGTAGGTCATGCTGATTGGCCTGCATTTCTCATAATGGGTGTTTTTTAAATGCTCTAAATTGCCCAGATGTCTTTGATTAATCTCTACAAAGTCAAGCTTAATTGTTAGAAGTATCCTCTGACTACTTACAAAATGAGATTTGCATGTTGGTAATTGAAAGTCTCATGAGCTTACCTTATTAACAGCATTTGCTATGACTTTCTTAGCCCCTTTCAATGTAAATCGGAAAGACTGCAGCACCGTTTAAGAGTCACCGGAACTCCCTAGGAAATGTAAGGATCAATAAGAATTCAATATGCTTAATCAGAGGGCCACTGCGACTATAATTTACCAGACAGATTAATGTGCAGCAAGGTCAGAGGGTAAAAGAGAGAAAGCTATTACCACGCGCGATCTTGTCAAAGCATGACGTTCCTGATATACCGCCCAGATGGCTGGGAATAAACTCCTTTTCTACTGTTTTCTATAGTGGAACATGAACATCTGCAAATCCCACAAGACATGACAAACATTTCCACTCCATGATTAACCATTTTTGTGTTCTTCAACATGCTCAAGATGCTTACTTTTAGCATATACTTGTTTGACACCATATCATATCCAGCTGTGCCTGCATTATTACATCAAATGTGTCTTAATATGTTATCATGTTGAACCAAGATGATTGATTTCTAGGTATTTATGATGAAATTGGTGTGTCACCATAACCATTAAACAGCTTATTCTGTGTGAACTCATTGTAACGCTGAATCAGGAAAATGATTAAAAGATAACCACGATGGCACGCCACTGTTATGCCTGTACAATTATTGATTTGACTCATCATTTCAACAAATGTCACAGCTCCTGAGATTTATTAAATCAACATTAAACCTGCGATTACATGTGTTATTTTACCACACTGCGAAGGTCTTTAGCTCTCTTGTTGCAGCAACAATTGATAACTCCATGCGAGGGAAAGGAGATGAGGGAGATGAACAAGGGGATTAGGAGGAAATGAACAAAACCTCTGATGTGGCAGGAACCCATCGGTAGTAGATTAGAGATTTGTCACATACACACTGTCTTTACAAAAAAAAAAATGTTAATTAAATATGAACCCTTTCTTTCATAATTCAGGTAAAGATGGACGGACAGACGAAGAAAGAAAAACGTAATAACTTGACATTCAGCATATCAGACTTTAAGCCTTGTTGTCCCAAATGGAGCTGCTATGATGCAAGAAAATGTCAGACTCTATGACAGTAAAGCGTCATCAACAATATCATCATATTACGAGCCTTATTCAGAATTAATGTTGATTTTAGTTACATTTCAGTTCATCATTTAGATGTATCAGCCTTCTGACAGACAAGTCAGATATACTTAAGCATGCCATTAATCCAAAGAACAACTTTTAAAATACATACATAAAAGATATCATAAATAAAATATGAGGACCTTTTTTGGAGCAAACACAACGATGAGGTGTTGTGAAGTGACATGTGCCAGTTAGAGTTGAATTAATGTGTAGTCCCTAATCAAGTTTTTCATTTAACTTTATTGATTTAGAGATCAAGCCTGTAATAGGATTTGTTATGAATTTCGTTGTTCAGTAAGTAAACAAGCGGTGCCAAGTATTGATTTGTTGAAGACCTGGGATTAGATTTCAGGTGTTAACAGTGTGAGCCACTGACTCATAGCACAAGGCCTGCAGAAATAATGGAACAGCCGCCTGAAAATCATCTTTAAATCATTGTTTAGCACTGTAACACGACAGATGCGTACTAAGGGTCTCTCTTGATGTGCTCTTAGGCTTCGCTTCAAAACTACCTCTGGGAATATATCATGTGAAATCTAAAGGAACTACCCACAGAAACCAGTCATTTCACTGAGCAGCAAGTCATTAATCACCAGAACCACCAACACACACACAGTGCACACACACACAGACACATGGCAGCCGAGAGCTGATCCCTGCTAGGTCAATTAGTGTTCATTAGAGGCCAATTATAACGCATTTACACATTTGATTAGTACAAACTGTTGCTATACATAACGTAAGTGCAGAATTGCCACCTACAGTAACCATATTTACTATCATATGTATATACAGTATATTATATACTATCATATGTACATACAGTATATTATAAACCTATGTTCCTGCTACAGTATTTTTGACCTTTTTTAAAGAACATTTTAATTATCCAAAATGTTGTATATTGTTTATATTTGATATACTATTTTTCATTTTCATTTTATTTTTAATTGTTAACTTTTTTCCACTTTTTAAGTATTGGTATTTTAATGTTGTGCACACTGGTCCTGTAACAAAATAATTTCCCAATTTGGGATTTATAAAGTATCTATCTATCTATCGATCTAAATTATTTGAAAACAAACCTAAAAAATACTTAAAATCAGCTAAAAAGCTACAAGTGTTTAAAAGCTCTATATCCATTTATCTAGGAACCAAATGACAATGATGATAACGCTCATTATTCCCAGTTACACGTGTCGGCTAAAGGCAAAACGTGAATTTATCTATAATTCTTGCTACATTCTACACAAATTAAGACAAAACAGCTATTTAAAATGTCAAGCTAATCTTAAGTATTCAGGCCAGAGGCACCTGGTAAGTGCAGTCTGTAGGTGAAACAGCTTTAAACACAATGCCATTTTAACAGGAAGAACATTTCACCATGTTCATTACGCAGAAAATGCCCCAATTCAAAATGCCTGTGCTGAACTCCACAGGTATAATGATTTTTACACTAATATAAATGTCGCATTTGTGCCTTCCAGGAATGAGTGGTTTTCCAGGAACAAAAGTCATCCTGCATATCTTAATCCCGCAGCCACATCATGGTAATTAAGACACTGACCCCAAGAGCCATCTGGCCTTATCAGCATACAGTAGCACCACCTGTCTATATGAATTCATTCATAGCCCAACGCATTGTCCCGTTGTTCCTTGTGCCGGCAGCAAAAAAGGGGATTTCATACTCTCAATGGTGTGATTTGTCTAGCGAAAAACTGCACTTTTTGTCTGGGCATTTGGTCATTAATTTCTCCTTGTCCTCTAACCAACACCCTCAATTTTCAGTGACCGGGCATTGAGCTGTTACAGATGCTTCCCACTACCTATTTTTCTAGTGATTGGACAAATGTAGGGGAGCATTTCTGAAGGCCCGTGACAGCTGAACATGAACCTTTGTCAGACACTACAGCACGGAATTTTGTTTCCTGAGAGAAAGATGTATTCCTCATCCTTTGACGATGAATTTCTGCCAAAGTATACATTTCCCCCCGCAGGGACTTGCTCTTTTCTTCACATTTAGACCTTGCAACTGTCCTGGAATACCAGTGACAGAGAAAACCGGCAACAGACTATCATTTGAGAGCAAAAGTACGGTTATACATCTCGAGAAAAAGCACAGTGACCCAGTGATAATTCTCTCTGTGATTCAATGAATGCTTCTGAATTATGTATGAGTTACAGTAAATTGTGGACGCTGCCTCCATACTTAAATCTACACTGCAGTGAACATATTGCACTTAGTCCCAGCATGTTTCCTTTAAATTATACAAAGAAAAAGGTACATTTGTATACAACAGCATGTAACAGCATAACAATGTAGTCCTTTCCTTGTTTCCTTTAACCCCTTTTTGTCTTGACAGTCCAACTACACCTGGAAGACTATCTCCCTGTGTTTATGATAAACAACAATAAGTATAATCAATGAGAAAATGGGTCTTGTGTTCTTAGATCTCTCTTTATCAAACAGGAATTGGATGGTGCTACATTTTGTAGGAGAACATAAATCACCACATACTTTAATCCTTGACAATAAAGCATATGTCTTTGTTTGTGGTGTATTGCTGTTGTTTTATGTGTGCTTTTTTTATATCTGAAGCATAAAAACTATAAAAAAGTTGATCACAAAGGAAAAAGAAATACAGTACTCTAAACCAATTAAGTATTTTGATTTCTGAATAAATTGTTGTAGACCCAATAATAAATATGTTTTAACTGGAAACAAATATTATCCATCGGTAAAGTAATGTAGTCAAAGTGTTATTGAGCTTTATCTAATATCTCAAATACATTTCTGCATTATAACAAAATACTGTTCTTATCTAGAAAGTTGATTCTATGACAAGTTGATTCTGTAATTTACAGACAAAATGTGAACATTATAAAATACTGTTTGTGGAATTGGACTTCACCTTGGAGCTGTACCATCTGCTCCCCTTCCAAAGAGGGCTTGAAGCCGTAAGGTCTCAATTTGCATTTTAATCTAACATTCATTTTGGCAGTAGAAATAATCATTTATAGCAGGTTCCAGATTGACAATGTATGAACAGTTTGGGAGCAGTTTAACTGTGTATGCTAATAGATCGTGGCTATACTTCCTTTTTTGGCTTTCAAAGAAGACATGTTCTGGTACAAATCTCCTTTAAACGGCAGTTAAATGCCAACATGCAGTGTAAATCAGTGCTGGTTCAGTAACAATAGGCATTACACGTACTCAATTAGAGGCCCTTGGTGGCTGGAATTGATTGTACCTTTTCAGCTGGACAGTGACATCTGTCAATTGACTTTGCGGCGGGCAGAGACAGCATCAGGGGGAGCTTGGCTGCAACCGGGGGAGGGGCCGTCCCATTAAAGGTCTGGTTGGCTTCACTCTGGATCAATAAAGAATTTTCACCATTTAAACACCTTCCTTTGTACTGTTTGCTACAGAACAAGGCAACAAAAAACTCCAAAATCCACAGTAAAACAGCCTTATCAATCCAAGGGAACCAGAGTTGTAGGTGGAATTCATTTACATCAAGCTGCTAAAAGCAATTATAAAAGTGAAATTCAAAAAGTACTAAGCAGACAAGCCGTGATAAGTCCTTGTCAAGGTTGTGTGAAGTAACTTTACACTGACATGACAGCATGCTTATGGAGACATGTAATGGTAAGGGGTCAAAGGTCATCTCTCCATTTGGAATCCCTGTAACATTAGCTCTTATTGATTAGACGGTGGTGGAAGAGCTCTGTTATTAAATGTCTTTCTCTGTAGTTTTCCTTTCATACACAAGACAACAAATGTTCACCTTCATTGGCTGATCACACTGCATAGGTTAACATACAAGCTAGTGCTATCAATATAATTGGTAAATGTGCTTGAATAGCTCACCTACTAGAGTTCCATGTCTCACAAATCCATTATATATAATCTGTATTACTTGTTTATTACTCCTTATACTTCTTATTCTGTCAAATTAATAAAATAATCAGTCGGTATTATTAGTTTGGTGAAATATCATAGCGTTTTACCTTTGGCTCCTGAAGCTCACAGCAATTTTCCATCTCGGCCATATAAGGGTCACAGTAGATGAGAATTTGTCTCAGTTCAATCTGTGGGAAAAAAATCTCATCAAGTAACCATTACAGCATCATACAGTACAGTAGTGTCATCATCACATTATGCCTATATTTCGACCATGCGCTTCATGGGTTAAGACATCACTATTTGTTCAACTGCCAGCTGCTGTAACTTGAAAACTCCCTAACATTTCCCTTTACGTTTTTTTTTTAAAAAGGCTTCAACTTCTGCATGAATTGCAGCTGCTTCAGAGCAGAACTTGAACCCTGCCATTCTTTTCCAATGCACTGCTTTCCATCTACCCAAATCACACGGCCCAAAAAGTCAGCTGTTAATGCTACTTAAGCCAAGTTCTACGCAGAGGCGCTGGGTGACCAAATGGCATAGCTGACCTCATGTTCTCTAGCACTTTAGGGGCATATCTGAGAATGTGCGCAACACAAAGGACACAATAAAGGATTTACAGAGATTAAGAAGTCTCCCCTGAGGCATGTCTTAAATACCTTTGGAAATCATTGGTGATGCATTTTGAAAAACACTGAGGATAATCCACTATCAGTGGAGAGAAGTAATAAAACAACTGCATACAAAAATTGTACGTCCTTAAAAGACGCTGTTGACTATAGCTAAAATGCTTCACGGAGTTTGCGTGGGACATACGTCTATAGGTCGTCCATCCTCCACTCGGGTGGTGATGAGAGTGCGCCCACGGAAGTCAACACTGTCTTTCTCATCCGTCAGCCTCCTTTCTATTAGCTTGCAGTCCAAATAAATGGAGACTATGTTGCTCTGGACAGAAACGCCCAGCTTGTGCCACTGGCGATCAAAAAGGGCATGTAGGTCACGGCTCTTAAACGTGTAGCGGAGAGCGTTCTTTAGCTCGCCCCGGGAAAAAAACTCCACCGCCTTCTTGCCACCATCGACCACCACAGATACCTGAGGAGCACAGAAGAGTTTAAAAACAGGGTTCTTATTGCCAATAAACATGTATCCTGTCACATCGGAGCGTATTTGTAGATACTGAAATGCATATGTGTCATTTAAAATACAGTGAGGCTCACCTGACTGTCTCCTGATTGGTCAAATATCTGCCATAGATACCAGCGATCTTTTTTTGTAGTTCTTCTTACACGGAAGATGGTGACAAGGGAGTATTCACTTGAAAGCCCATTTGGAAATATTTCTCTGAAAAACAAGAGATAACAAAGTCAGATTTTGACTGAATGTAAATATTAAAACAATCTAGAAATAAAAAGTAACAGTGTAATTTCTTAATATCTAATGTGAGCCTTAAAGCTTTCAGGGGCTGAACAATGAACCAGCCAATCAACTTGAATGATCAATAAAACATTTCAATATCCTCCAGCTGCAAAGCCCCTCACATAAATAAACCTGACAAACTTGATTCCATTTAGCTTGATGAATCGCATACAGGCTTCCCTTTCTCTCAGATAATGAAAACATGTTGAAATTGATCCAAACTCTAAGAATCCAATCTTTTACCTCACAGAGATATGGCGTGCTAAAGATATCGGGTTATAGATGCAACGCAGTTACAGGTTTATGTGTATGACCTCAGCTGCTCCGTAAAGTCAAATAACAATTCTGTATTCACAACCGAAAATGTGTTCCAACAGAAGCAAACTATGCAGAGAAAAAAGAGGGAACATATAGAAAAACAATATCATATTTCAAATCAGACACGCTCTCAAATGAATTGTAGCTTATTTACTATCTCATCTCTCAGCCCACACCCCCATTTCCTTATTCATTTTATACATAGCATAAGAGAAAAAAAACACTGTACCCTTCAAAATACCCTAACCCTTGCCCTAACTCCAGATTCAGATTAACAGTCAAAAGTGGAAGAGCATAAACATAATAAATCAAGATCAGCAAAAATAATAATAATGCAATGATAAGGTCATTGAAAAGGCAGAGCACAGCCCGAGGGAGGAGGGAGAGAGTTTCTTCAGACAGGTTGGAAATTAGTTTTCACTCCAATATATCATCTCCCATTCTCTCAGAGCTTCATACCCTCTCCTATTGTGTCCCCTGAATTCTTTGAGATTTCGGTGTAAACGGTACATGACTAAAATGATAAATACACCAAGTTAAAGCTCCCGAAAAGAAATGCCTCTTTGAGAGGCCAAGGGCTGGGAAGGTTATTTGTTGCCTGAGGGCTAAAGGACTATTTCAGCTGCAAATCAATATGGAAAGTGGCAGGGCAATTTATAAAAATGAGGATTCATAAAATAAATTCAACACTGAATATTTCTGCTTGTAAACCAACTGCTGCTTGTAAACCAACTGCTGCTTGTAAACCAACTGCTTTTACTAAATGTGTAACACATTATTATGTAGAGTTTCCACAAGGCAAAGGGTAAAACAGAACTCCTAAAGCACTTGCACCTGCAGCTTATGGAACATAATACATGTAAGCATTTTTAATATAACATATAAAGTCTGTGAAATTACAATTCAGGGCTGTTTTCTGCTCAAGCCCTGGAGTTCACACCCTTCTTTACAAAGTTCCCAACTAAGTCTGCTCGTGTTTCAAAACACGGCCCGTCTACAGTGCGGCACACTTGATCTCCGTGGGCCCAGGGGGTAAAGTTCATGACCTTGTGTTGACTGCCATCTGTGGCTAAATGGCTAAACCGGAGCTCAGCGTGGGTTGGTTTCAACACCGCTTTTCTGACTCTTGGGAGAAACGCTACTCTGCATATTCAAAGACGTGATGAGTGAAGGGAAAGGATCATTTTGCAAGCTCTCATGCTGCAACTTTCACTGTAAACGGCACCGTATTTTTTCAGCCATGTCTCATAAAAGTTATATTAATATAACTAATGCACACTGGCATATATTGGAGAGAAAAAATACATAACTGCCTACACAATTAGATTCAATAACGTTTTAATGCAAGTGAGAAGTCTCCATACTACAGAGTTGGATTGTACGACGCTGAGTAACCTGGTTCAAATTTCAAATTGTTGAAACAGCTCCAGCAGGAAGTACAGCAAAATAAGACATTTTGAGTGACAATTAGTGTGCATAACTACTCTGCATTGATAGCAACTATGGCAACGATCAGGATTAGCACAAAGATCACAGAATAACACGCTGTCTTCCACAAGAGTTACAATCCAATTGTATATTCGTAATCCATTTGAAAGGAGCTTTCTGGAAACCATCACTAGTCTTTGAAGACATCTTTGACCATGCATATTGCTTGGCTTGAACGACTCCTTGTATAATCAGGGACAAAAGTTTGACATAATGTCACAGCAACACTGCCGCTCTGGTAGAGAATCTCCCGGAAGCGGCTTTAGTGTCCCGGCTCGTAAGAAATCCTATCTAGGAGGATTCTCCAAATTAGTCAGAGGAATCAGATGGCTGTAGCCGAAACAATCAAATGTTTGCCTAGTTGGCTCACATCACTATCACTGACACTCAATCCTCTGACAGATCAAAGTGGGCTCAACCATGACAGTTTATACGCTAAATGCATCATTCATGCTAGCAAGGTCTATAACCTCCTCTCAGCAGGACTCCTGTTTCCTGTTTAAATGTGGGAATGCTTGCCAGCAGGATAGAAGGCTGCCACTGATGAAGCCAAATCAAATGCATGCCTGTGATCTGATAGAAGGATATCTTACCAATGGAGAGACATTTTATTACCGAGTGTGCATGTGTGAAGCTTAGACTGCCATGTTATCATCCTTCCAGGGTAAATAGGTGTTCTTCTGAGAGTTAACAAGCCACCAATAGCAGAACAACATCTTGAAATGTCATCTGCCACCAGGAGTGCACGCCGTATCATTAATTCAGAGTAATTTGTTAACTCCAATCAACATGGAATTGGTTTTTTTAAATGGGCAATTGTTCATGGTTGAGAAACCCCCCAATAACACAACTGTTGCTATGACTATCAAACACGTTTTCACAGTGACTGACCCCGTCTCCAGCCACTGCTAACACCCCGCAGGCTCATGCTTCACTCTCCAGAACATTCCATTTCCAACTCTTCCTGGCCTGATTGTCACTGTTGCTTCATGACTTTGCTTTCCTGCGTCTTCAACCTGAACCCTTTTAGCTTCTACTTCTGTTAACCTGGGGATTGTCAGCTACTTCCGTTTTGCCTTTAAGCCTTTGTATGATTATTTTAGCATTAAAATCACTCAAGTCTGCAGGTCTCTATTCGAGCCATTTCCCTTGCTGCCTTGTACCCACCCCGGGACACAAACCCCTGGACGTGAAATTGACAGTAAATACTGGGCAGTTAAATCACTTCAAGCCGCTAACACATGTAAGACCGCGGGATAAAACGTCATATAATCAACGTATATGGTTGCAAAATATATTTCTGACCAGGATATTGAAGAATATAGACAAGCACTGTATGTATAAGGTATTTAGATGCTGAGTCAGGTATACCGTATTGATTGCAGTAAAACCATTAATTAGCTGACAACAGTCAAAATCTACCGAAGCCCCAGATAAATAAACACAAACAAACCTGGCTTCCTTGTCCTTTCATATTTTAAAGTTTCTTCAGCATTTACATATGATGTGAAATAGCTTTCTGTTTCCCATTGAAACATTTAGCTTACTAGGTGCTTTGATGATAGTTGACATCCCAGTCACACAAATCACATAATGAGACATTGTTGTCACATTCGAGGGATTCCAATTACCATTTCAAAATGAGCAATGGCTGTTAAGGAGAAATGTATTAGTGAAATGGAAAAGGTCCTTTTGTGCTGAGCTTTATACTGACAATTTGATTCGATATTTAAAAGGCTGAAAAATAACAAACAGGTGTTCACATTTGAAAGGTTCAGCTCACAAAAAGCACAAGTAGTTTTACATTTGTATAAGGACAAGTTTGTATTGTACTCTAATGCTTGGGTATGTAATGTTTTGCAAAACCAGGATTTTAATATCAGCAATAAGAACTTTGTTCCAATGAGGTGGCTTGCAAGAAGAGAAAACCACGCATTGATCATTTTTTGCTGAACATTTCAAGAAAGAAAAAGGCACAGCATTCTTAAGACAGACCTGACTGCAGCATTGTGCTTCAATTCTGTGTGAGCTCGTTTTGAATACATGTTGCATTTCGTAGGGGCAATTTGTCACTCTGCACAAATGTTCCTTGAGTGTGTCAGCTCTGATCCAAGCACAATAATGCGTACTATGCCAAGAAGCTGGCAGAACATTACGCAGATCCAGAGAGCGGAGCATCTATTGCTGCATATCCTGCGAGTAAAGTGAGCAATGTTTTAGTGTCTGAGGGGGGGGGGGCAGAGGAGGACTCCTGCTCCGTGCAATTGCCCTCGCTTTCCTTCCTCAGCTGACATGCAGTATCACCTGTCAAAGTACTTAGATAATTGGATATGAGAGGGATAGCAGTCTCGCCACTATAACCAATGACACTGTCAGCAGTGTCATTGAGAACCAGCATCTTCTTGCACTATGAGCGCAGACTGAGGGAAGGGCTGGAGGAAATGTATTTTCGGCTGCCCGACTGAACAGGGAAGCGGATCACAAATCACCTGGCGCTAAGATTCTTTCACCTAGCCAGAGAGAGAGAGAGAGTGGCAGTAAATGTTTACAGTTGCATGTCATGTAAAAATGCTAAAAATATCCGCTCCTCCTGGAAGAATGACACAGTGTTCTCTTTCACTGAGGTCACAAAACAATAAACATCTAAGAATAAATGTTTCCAGATCCAAAACATTACTGTTAGGACAAGAACGACAAAGCGTACAGGCTCATATGTGCCACGTGTCTTTCTTGATGTTGCTAGTATGTAAGTATAATCATAAATATCATATGGAAGTAACATCCCCCACTATATCATCAATATTAGCATCAAGGTGAAGTCACAGTGCTGTTCCACCACTTGACAGGGGGAGGTCTTCATTAAATGGCACCTTAGTGTGTCATTTATGTAGATATGTTGTTATTCCTATCTTATTATGCAGTACATGCCCCAGCTTTCTTCTTCCCCTTTCCTTTATGTCCCACATTGTGTCCTTAGGAGATTTCGAGGAATAAACGCAATGTATTTTAATTCTGTTCAAATGATTCCCTGTCTAACAGCTCACCTCACAGCTTGCCCTTATTAGCCAAGGCAAATGGAACCTTTGCTCTGAGCAGAGTGTATCTGAGTTGCCTCAAGTCATGAAATACAGTAATGGACACAGTTTGTTTCTTAGAAAATCCATCCAAATCAGCCTCATTATGATCTGCACACCTTATTATAGCAGTGTTATTGTATCATTTCTCATATGGTCTTAAAATATATGAGTTTATGAAAAACCTCCTTATTCAGAACCTGCCCATATGGAAGCAAAACCAGCAATACCCTAGGTGTTAATGAAAATGAACACTGCTGTTTAATACCATTAATAGGCTCGGCTTCACATGAGTGACTGCATCTTTTAGCCTTCTCTCATCAGACTACTGTTCCATAGCAAGAGCATGAGAGTGGTAGAAATGAAGCAGGATACAGGGAGATTATTTATCAGGTTATGGAAGACATGCAGGCTGTCTGTCCGACTTATCCTCAAATGTTATGAGGTACAAGAGTACAACATCTGAACCCTAATGACGCAGAAAACAAGCACACAAGGATGCTACTCACTTTGTTGGCTTTATGAGAGGACTGCTTCCTAAACGATATGACGGAAGGTCCTCTGTGATCGTTCCCTTTCGGAGAAGAAACTTTTCCGTGAGATCAAATCCTGTGAACAGATTTAGTGTCAATATATTGAAACTGTTGACATTTATGACAAAAAGTAATTGTGATCGTCCAGAACATACCTGTGATGTCCAGAGGACGATCTAAGACATCAGTGAACCTGTGCTCCTCTACGCTCAGAGCGGGGCATGAGCCATCTACAGGAAAGCCACCAAGAAGTTGGTTGTACCGGGAACAGATGTTCATTTATGTTTTGAACCAGTTTTGTACAATTTTTATAGAAAAGGAGACAATCAATTGAATCATGAATTTATGTGGATGGTGCATTTCCTTTCATCTTCTTCTTCAGCAAAAATCCAATCAGAGCAGGAAAGCAATTCAAAGTTTTTTCCCATTCATCTTGAGTTTGAATTTATAAAGTGACCAACAGAGACAGGACTCTGAGATGTAATTTAGAGGCAAGATCCGCTTTACCGAAAATGTAATGGACTTCATGAATACGGACATTTCATTAACATTTTTACAAGAATAGTTTTGTTTCAAGCTCACACTCTCAATCTATTCTAAACATAAAGTACAACACAAATATCAGATGATGGCATTACAAAGGGTTGTTTGGCACTGTAAATGTATTGTGAACTAAAAATGTTTTGTAAAACATTAATATATAGAGAATTTGAAACATTATGCTTAGCTTAACAATAGCATGGACATGTTACCCTCTCCATATGAATTTGTGAAGTTATTCAGTTTAATATATGATAAAATAAACGCCAACAAAGCCTTTCAATCATAAAATGTCTGACCGTCTATTCATCTGATACAGATTTGTATATTATAGTGATACAAGGTGTCTGCTTTATGTTAATATAGGGACATTTAAGAGTACAATAACTGGTTACACAGTTGAAAGACACAAGTTGCCGGGCGAGGAAAACAAAACACACATACCTGTTCGTTCACTCACTGCCATTCCAAAAGTGCAAGGAATTACATTTACAGTCCAAATCAAAGCAGTCCATCTTAACAAGCAACCCATGGCTCTGACACTAGAAAGCAGTCCCACCTGGAAACCTGGAGACAAACATAGACATTTTTATTTTACGTTTAAAAAATAAATAAATAAATGGATCAATTGTGTTGTGTTACTTATATTTGAACAATATCTAATATATAACTTCATAGCAGACATTAAAAAACAATTTGGCACCAGTTATTGTTATTATACACGTACCATTTGGCTCGGTTTAACTGACACTTGGACTTATTGAGATGGTCTAGTTCTGAAACAATCCGATGTGTATCTACTTTTTTAACCAAACATACACTTTAATTCTCCTCAAATGTCATTCATACATTCACTAAATGAGATAGTGTTCGAAAATTGCACTATTATGAGAATACGTTTGACCTGTAAATCATTTTTAATTCTCTTAACAGCCCACGCTTATGCCCACTTGTAAGTCCCTAAAGCCTCTTTGTGTTTATGTAAAGCCACTCAATCTGGAGAATGCACTTCTGAGTCCTTCCTTCATTAGTTTTCATGAACACCTGCCATGTGATGAATGAAGATGTTCAGATGCAGCTAAATCATTATACACTAAGCAATGTTTATGTTTAGGTTTGTAACTAGCAGCCAAGCTCCCTTTTGCTTTCCTTAGACGGTTTGTAATCCATTAGGCCTGTGTGTCGTTACCACAAATTAGCAGAGGAAGTGCGCTGATACTTAACTTCAGAATATAAATGGGGCGATTTGAATATGGAAGGTGTAAATCTAAATGCAATATATTGATGTTAAAAAGATAAAACAAGTGACTTTGATTCATTGTTTTTCTTCCTCTAACTTTATCTCATTAACTTCATTAATCTCACATTAACTTTAAGAATGTATGAAAAGTTTGATTCATGATTGCTGATCCTCAAGTTTTTTTTTTTATCATGTCTTCTTTCATAATGCCAAAGCCTTGATCTGTATGTCTGTAGTACTCTCTTAACACTTGTGTTTTGATCTGTAAGCTGACAGCAGTGTCTTGTTCAAGGACGTCACCAGCGAGAATAAAAACCTGGAAATCTTAAGTAGTTCTCTTAAGCCATTTGACAGAGGTGCCAAACCAAATCTTCAGCATTACTTGTGCCGTTTCAAAGAAGGCAATTATTATTTTTTAGGGCTAAGTCATCCTGGATAGCAGGAGTGTGGTCAAAAGGATAGTCAATCAATTTCAGCAGACTATTCCAGCTCAAACAAAACGCTTTCAAAAACTTCAGAATTGATTTGCCTGCCAAAATTGGTGCACTGGCAAAGAGTCGATTATAGAACACATAAGAAAAACATTTATTTCAGGCGCTAGACTTTTAGGGACCACAAAAAGATGGAAGAAACTCAACAGAAACCGGTTTACACATCATTAAAGCGTGATTGAAAATCTATTTGTTTTTGTGTTTATTCTATTCAAACAACAGAAAGGGACACATCTGTGTGTCAATCCAACAGAAGATAAAGGGAAAAATCATTAATTTAACGACTAACATTATTATTTCAGTACTTGGAAAGTAGTTTTGTGACATCACAACTTGAATTCTGTTGCAGAGACTATAATCCTTCCTTCCTGTTGTACATTTATATATTCCCAGAAGGGAAAAAACTAATGAAGACAGAGCAGAGGACTGCACTTGACCTCCACAGACCAGAAAACAGCCACAACACATTCAGGGAATTTATATGCCCCGTCACAAAGTGTGTCCCCAAAACCTTTTATGATACTCTCCTTTTTTTAACTGCGTCTATCCTATCAAAATAAATCTTGTCTGAATGATTAATTCCCAATCCTGCTCCAGGCACTTGTTCCTTCCACTGGATCATAAAGTTTTGCATGTAGGCCCATAGTATCATGGCGCATGGAGATGAAGTGACTCTGCCTTTCACAACTACAACCATGCATGGGCCGTAGACAAGCAACACTACAGAGGTATCACATTCCTTTTCTGTGTGAAGGAGTAATGCGATTCCAGTTATTTTTCCAAATACAATCAATGCACACAGTTCATCTGCAGTCAATTCATATTTTTTGTAAGAAATTATGTTTTTATTTAAGACCACATGTCGTTTTAAATCATGCAGTTTAGTGTACAGCACCATCTGCATGGATTTCAATCTTAAATTGAGAGTGTATTTAATTGTGTAGGCTACTATTAAACAGTTAAGTTAAGGTGGAAAGGGACGTTACTATAAGCTGTCACTCCATTATTCATAAAATGTGTCACTTCTGTATTATTCAAAGAAGCGTGTTTCACTGCGCGACCGCTGATTGGCTGCTTGTTTTTTTTGTAATACTTTAATAATTACACTATGATGGATTTTCTTTTAGTGTCCGGACAATTTCGCACTCTGCTGTTAACAAGTCATGCAATACGGTACGTGCTTACTGCTCCGGAGCGTGCATACATCTGAATAACCTGTTCATAAGGGGATGGTCCCGGTCAACACACAAGTTAAAGAACCATGCGGAGAAAAAAAAACACTTTAATACGGAGCGACAAAGATGCGAAATGAATCCGTTATAAAAAGGTTTTCACGCTGATATTTAAGCCGTTTTTTTGTATGTACTGTGAAATAAATCTACGAGTACTTACAGTTGGTGAGAAAGTTTCCTCTAAGGCAGAAAAAAAGAAAAAGGAGCGAAAAGAGTATAATCCATGTGTGATAGCGATCAGTGTGATTCCGGATTCCAGGACTTGGAAATAAAAGTCACAGTGGGATCGCCAGCTAGATCGCAGTCCTTATTAGTTGCACCGAGTGGCCCTCCCACTCTGTCATTATTACTGAGACGCACCGACAGAGACTTCAGCAAACAAGAGGAGCACGCACTGAAAGCTTTCATATTAAGAGCGAGTGCATGCCCAGCGGGGGTTCAAACTCTTCTCTAACTCAGCCAGGTGCGGGAATTAAACACAGTTTGATGTATTGTCTTCTTAGTAAATGTACTGAATAGAGGTCTAACTCTAAGGGATTTGCTAACCTTTTAAGGTGGCTTCTTTAAGTAAAGTAAATATAAGAACAACACAAAAAGTCTTAGGGTTCATTGATCATGAGAAAGAAAATTGATGATTCATTATATAATAGAATATCAGAATCAGAATACTTTATTTATGGGGGGAAATTGGGTATTGTGACAGATGAGAAAGATATATAATAAAAGATACATAATAAAACAATATATATAATACAGAAATGTATGTGAACTAAAAGACGTTAATGTAAGAAAGTTCAATAATAAAATAGAATAAAAGTTGTTTATATGAACACAGGAGGATTAATACTTTATATTATTTATATTGAGCTCATTGTTGAAAAAACAGCATTATGCTATGGATGTTCCAACATATTATAGTGACAGCTCTCAGCTCTAAAGGCAGGCCTGGTGCTACAGCAACATACACATACTATTTTAGCACCATGTCGCATTACTGCCATGTGAGCAACAGCTTTAACTTCCACTTTACATGCACATGCACATGCAGTCTTATCAGTAGTATCTACATGCTGACCACAACCCACTAAGGGTCTCCTCATGTTGAACATGAGTCTATACTGTATGCCTCATCCATATTGTATTACAGTGTTTTTCTAACTAAATGAAGGTTAAAAGCACAGGTACTTTGTCCCCTGACGTTTTTGTTGAAACAGCACACCGACAGAAACAGGTGTTTGGGCTCCACACACATAACTGTTTAGACAGATGATTTCAATGCACCCTCCCCTTCACCACGGGGACACACACAGACATACTTTGCAGTGGTGTGATGAAAGAAACAGAGAAAATGGTATGAATAACAACTACAATGAAGCAGATGGCAATATTTCTTTCTTGAACATTATACAAACATAAGCACTGAATTATTGTTTTGGTCTTTATACTTGTTTGTTTTTCGTTCTTCGTGCGAGGACTGAAAAACTTGAATCGTTGGCAGCTTATTAATTGCAGTCTGCCTTAACTAAGAGCTTTATTTACTGGGTTTTTCTGTAAATGGAATCATTATTATATGTTTATATTAAAACTTTGCATGAAGGGGTGGGAGTATTTCCATTCAAATACTATAAAACAGCCATTTTGTGCAAATTGACTTTTGTCTTTTTAATTGGAATGCTACCACTGTGACATAAACTCAACACTAGCTGATGTATTTATTTGTACTCTGTGCCAGGATCTATAATCAGCCCCTGTGTTCTCTGGACTGGTGGATTCATGCCTTCAATATTGGTCTGTGTTTCAACAGCAGTTCATTAGAGCCTTTTCTTCACAAACAATGGATTGATAATATGGTTGGGCACAAGCATTTAGAGGGACAGTTTCTCCATTCAACTCAAAAGGACGCCCTCTCCATCTGCAATCACATTCTTTGACTTTAAATCATTTATTTAACCTAAAATGCATGGTGGTAATACAAGCTTCTCTTCAACATAGCATCTGAAACAGTGGAACTGTTTTTTGCACACACAATACCTGAAATAAAAATGGTTAACTGTGAGATGTGTGGATTGCTACCTCTGAAAAACTAATCATTTACATGTTTCCATTAAATACATTTTTCCTTACCACTATTAAATTACAGTGGCAGCAGAAATCTTGGTGGGGCTTAACTCTAAAACCTTTGCAAATAAAAACAAATAACTGAATGTGTTTTAGGTGAACTGACCCTTAAAGGAAAGGGCAAGTATAGAGCTTTGGTGAAATAATGAAATAGTATGGTGCCTTGATGGCCCAGCAGTCTACATTTTGTATCAACTTCACCTGTGCCCTTAAAACAGTTAGTCAGTGGGCGTTCAAGGTAGGTGTTTTTAATGTGTTCAACCATAAGAAAAAATCCTGTCTTCTCGTACTTAATGTGTTATTGAATTTAAACAATATCATTTTAAAAAGTACTATAATTTAAAAATAGTTATACTGACAGAACATCTTTCTTCAATCACAAACAAAGTGGTATTTGGGAACTACATTATCTACTGCCCAACATCACAGTCAGTGCATCACCTAACCGTATGTGCATTTGCTGTCAACTTGCTAAATAAATAGAGTGTGTGTCAGCGCGAAATAGGTGACAAATGCAACCCAGCAAGTGCTGCATCAAGGTAAATGTACCAAGCACATCTAACTGGAGTGACATCTTATAAACGCCAAGGTCCCAAAAGCTGTCAGGAGGCTCTAAAATACCCTGGAGATGATTGTTGTCACGAAATATTCAGTCAAAGTATTCATACAAGAATGAACATAAATGAATAAGAAAGTCAAACTCAATATAGTGGGATGTAGAAGTTTTCCAATAAATATTCCATGAATAATACATTGTCAATTGATATTGAAGGAGTTCATTAGTTGTTATTCACATAGTGTCTGGATCCCTGCCTGGAGTTCATCGCTGGCCCGGCCAGACTCTACAAACCTTTCATTTTGGAGAATGAGATCATTAAAATGTTTTGAATAAAGTCCAACATATTCACCTTTGTCATTTGGAACGATGTCCTGTACTCAGAGTGTTGTTAAAAGCCATGCTGTTGCCTGGCTGCTTCTCTCTGGGCAAATACAGAGTGTGTTGGTGTTGTGTGCCAAACCTGTATGAAAGAGGGTGAAATTCTATCATTTGTTATAGCTTGAATTTCAGGGGTTGATGCCCTGCTTGTGCTATCCTTAAACTCCTCACTAAATCACATGCTGTCAAAAGTGTTCACAGCATTTCTTTGGCAGTTCCAAAGTAAACACATCAGTAATCTGATAGGGATTATCCAGGGCAGCAGATTGTTGTCAAAAAGAGACATTGCTGTTGTTGTTCATTTTTCCTTATTGTCTTCAAATGATATTACATGACATGATCTCCACTCTAAGATAGACATTTCAGCAGTGTCCCAAGATATCTTTGTATTTTATGTCATACTTGATTTTAGAGATGTTGGGCTAAATTGGCAACTGTAGGCCATTACTACTGTATGACCTTTAAGACTGATAAATGGACATTTTTCATTACACTTTCTAATTTGATATACAAATAAATATTGCAAGCAACATATCAACCATTTACTTGTGAGGATATGAAGTTCTAGTTTCTAAGAGGCTGCAGAAATGTAACTAAACCCCCTGTCAGAGGATAGAAATGCATGTAACTCTTTAAAATAACTTGATCGTGCCATTTCAGCTTTAACCATTCAGTAAGATATAGAATTATAAGGCAGACAGAGTGGTTTGACAAGCAACAGATCTATTGGTAATGCTGTTTCTGACCCCAAGACATTACATTTACATGTTTGGCGCCCCTCTGACGTAACTCGGAAAAATCCTCTGACACATAATGCCAGAAATTGCCCTTTAAGAGTTTTTTCACGCCATGATTTTCTGTCCACTTAAATCTCATGTTTTATTCAGCCAAAACAAAGTGATTTTATAACATATGGCTGCAGGTTGTGCCCTCTATTGATGCTTCCCATTTGAGAGTTTTGCATCATGATATTATTTAAATTATTTGTAAAATACCCCACTTACCCTTTGACAACAACTGCCAGTGATTTGAAGACATTTGAAGGATTCCCTGAAGATTGTCTTATCAAGCTGGATTGAGAAACGGTACATGTCATTAATGCAAACTGCAAACATGTGAAGATGGCAGATAAAAGTGATAACTGGCTCACAGTGTACAATACAAATCAATCAATAGCTTTATGTTTAATGTGAAAAAAATCAAAAACAATTGCATGTTCCATGGAATAAATATAAGCTACACGATAATGATAATGATGATGATTTGTCACACAAGATGAGCAAGGAAGCCAGCCGGCTAATTAAGTTGTTGTGAGAAAGAGTCACAGTTGAAAATATGTTGTAAAAATTCCTCTTATATTTTAATCTTGCCTGCTCAATAGACAGAAAGCGTGTGATATATATTCAAAATGCAGAGGATTTACAACCTTTGTTGACTATTAGCTAAGTTAGCAAGGAGCTATGGGTTAGCTAACACTAGCTGGCCGGTTACTATATTGTAAACTAAACTAAATGAAAATCTACCACAGCCATATAGTTGAACCTAAATGTATGATTCACGCAGTAGTGTGGCGTGGGGAAAAATTTAGGGGAAGCCCATTTTTTTGGGTTGGTTGGGGGGGGGGGGGGGGGGCAATAACGTAACCAGATGAGTGATTACAGCGCCCGGTATCATTTTACACACATTTGTATCACACAGATGCAGGACTTGCACACGCCTGTCATCTAACCGACAAGTCCGCACGCACTCTCCAGCCGAAACTCTCGTTTTATTAATTTAAGCATTTTCTTATTAATTTATGCAGACACACCCCCCCCCCCCAAATGCAATACCAGCCGCTCAATGCGCAGTGCAGATTCGGTAATGAATAAAAAGAAGCATTCATTCACAAAGTAAATCAGGAGACCTTTAAAGTTTTATGTACACATCAAAGTATCAGTAGGCGTGTATGAAACACATGAATTCAAAAACAATTATGTACAGAAACATTTGCATGCGATAGTCCACCTTCTCTTCCCTTCCCTTTCTAACACACGGCAAGTGCAGCAACAGTCCTCGTCTCTGTAATTAGCTCAGTCCGTAGTCCAAAAGTAACTAAAAAATATAAACAATCTCATCTATTCAGGTGAAATCGCCAGCCGCTTCTGAAGGGAAGCCAGAGGCAGCTGGCTTCCCTTGGCATGGCCCTGATCAATCAC